TACTTCAGACATTTCCTGATTTGAAGTCGTGGATAAAGTGGGATAAAACAATTAAATGAAGTTGCATTCGTGTGGCTGCTTTCAGAAGATAAGATTAGATAGACTTTATTGATACAACAATGGGGAAATGTACTTGTTACAGCAGCTCCAGATACCAAACCTTACACATAGCCTACAGTTGTGAATGATAATAGAACAATGCACAGGTCACAGCAGGGAGGAGGGGGACGGTGTAGAAATAAATATAACAGAACAGGACAAACCATATATACAGCAGTGTAATTTAAAGGTTAAAGGTAAGAAAGATTATTACTCAAGATGCAAATGGGCATGTTAAATTTAGCCCAAACAGAAACACAACACAGCCTACAATAATCCCCATAACATCATTATATTATATTATGTTTGTATTATTATTTTTTTTTTCATACTGTTCTTATACTGTCTTTATACTGTTTTTTTTCTCTATCCACTTCGATGCTGTAAGATTGGAATTTCCACATTGTGGGACTATTAAAGGAATATCTTATCTTATCTTAAATTACAGTAAATAAAAGTGTCATCTATGCAGCCATATCGCCATGTCAACGATTAATGGGTGAAACCAGATGAGCACGAGTGGTGTTAATGGTTTTGATTCCCTACTCCAAAAATAACTTCTAGGATAAACAAATTAAGGCAGCCAGCTAAAGTGCTGTTATATTTTAACCACAGTAGAAGAACGGAGACCCATGAGATGAAAACAGAGGAAGATTAGAACGGGATGAAAAGAGGCACAAAAGATCTGAAAACAAACGGGTAAAGTTAGAAGGCAGCCGGACAGCAGTATTAAGAAAAGGGTGGAGAATGATCCATGCAGCGCCACCACCTCTCCCTGTGTTGAGACTTACTCAGCCTGCCTCTAGTGTTTGACCTACAGCGACGGGCCTCTACTCGTCTGTCGCAGAGGTCCCTCGCACATCTCCCTTCTGACGCATCTGATGTGACATTCAGGAGTAAAAAAGGATTAAAATCAAGAAGGTTACAAGTGTGTCGCGTCGTCTCCAGCAGGCTGATCAAAAACAGAACGATGATCAATCATTTGTACTTTTATCATTCACAGCAGAAGACTTTACTTCCTGTGTGAGCTCCTCAGATCAGAGAACATCTGGACATTCAGCCACCACATCGGGAAGAAGACAGTACAAGTCTGAGAGGACAGTTATTATAGTATATTTGCCGAGTTAATTACCTCCTCAAGCTCTTTTTGGGTCTCTTCTTCCATCCGCCTGATGTCCTCCATGGTCAAACCCACCCATCTGTCGATCCAGCAGAACAGCTGGCGGTGGAAGTTGGTGAAAATACGCTTTTCTTGCTGTGGAAGGAAGGAAAGGAGTTAAAGTGAAGTAAAAATCACTTTTATTCTGCACAACCAATAGGTGGTTTAGAGACTTAAACAGGGATCCAACTCTTAACAAATCATTTTCATGAGTTTCTCTATAATACAGGAGAGCATGTGTTTACAAATAAGACAAGATGTTCCTTTATTGATCCCCCTTAGGAGAAATTCAAAACTGACACAGCAGCATAAGGCAATGTAGTGCAAAAGAAAGAGTACAGAAGTGAAAATGGTCATATAACCGGTTTACTCTAACAGTAACAGTTCAAATTAAGTAGAATTGATTTTATTTTACAGGAGATTCATCTTCCAGAAAGTTAAAGTACGTTGTGAATGTATTTATCAACCACAGCAACAATGTACATTTGATAAACCTGCTTTGAAGTAGGCGATCTGAGTGAGGGGCTTCAATACAATTTAACATTTTCCAGGACAACATCGATTATTTCCAGGATATTTGCTCACTTTAATCAATTTCCAGTCCAGGGTGTGTGGGTAAACCAGTGCTGGTGTTTTCCTGCCTTTCAGTCCATGCATCATCTCAAATATTTAACCAGCAGAACACAGACAATAAAATAAACTTCAAATATTTTTCTATTTAAATAATTACACTTGGTAAACATTTACTCTGCTATTGTCCTTCTCATCTCTTCCCTGAACTGAACTATGCTTGGGCTCAGTTAATGTTCTCTCTCAGAGCCACGTCTCCCTCTGCTGTTCAAAGCAGAAACATGCACTGGACTGGCACAACTCAAGTTCCTCATTACAAACCACAAAAGTACAACATGAAAGACATGAATCGTTACCCTGTGGATGAAATTTTCCACTTTGGTCTGCAGACCCCACCATCTGAACTTGACAGTGACCAGTTTGTATGCGCACATGTAAGGACAATCTGTCTTCAGCTCGTTCTGTGAAGGAAGAAAAGAGAACGCAAAGTTCAGACAGTGAACATCGTGATGTTCAACATGTGGTGCATCTGTCTGTGACTATATCAGGTACCTTCCATTCGGGGCCTAGAGGTCCTCTGCCTGTCTTGGCGGAGTGGAAAAGAGCAGGATCTTCTTCTGGCTTATAGTCCTAAAAAGAGAACAATAAAAACGTTAAGATCCTGTAAGAAACAGACTGTACCCGTCTACCACAGCTCACACTTTCACATCTCATTCTTTTATTGTTTGATCGTGTTGCCCGGCTGCAAGATACAAAACAAAGTGCATTGTTTCATAGAAACAGTAGGGCTCAAAAGCTCCACAGAGCTTTAAAACCCCCCTGCAGATATTCTGTAAGATTTGAGGTTTTAATAAAACAACACAATTAGCTAGTTAAAAGTTCTTTGAATAACATCTGCTTTAGTTAAACTACTGGACACATCATCAGGATTCACACTCTTTTTAGGAAATCATTTTCAGGACTTCTCCAGGACTTTTTCCATTAGTTTTTTCTTGACCAGAGTTCAACACGATTTTTCTGCTGCATCAAACGGTAACAGTCTTCTAGCCAGAGCCCATAAAATGTATTTTATTTCACAGAAAATGAATCTCTTAACCTATTAATCCATTAAAAGAAGAAGTCTTTGTTACATGTACAATTCACACTGACTCAACCACAACAGCAAATGTACCTTTGATCAATAATAGCAGGCTGTATGCTTGTAGATGTGACCTTCTGCAGCATTTACAAAATAGATTTGAAGCCAAAAGTTTGCTGCAAATGCTGTGCAATTTATTTTCAAAAAAACTAGTCTTTAAATTTCCAGGTTTTCCAGATTTTCCAGGGCGTGTGGGAACCCTGAAGATGTCTTCACTGAAAGGTCCACTCTCAGTGTATGTGCACTGGACGTTTCCACATCACAAGATGTTTGGATGGCAGTCGAGGTCCAGTTATGCAACTAACACAAGAATGATGTCACAAAATGATGTTTGTACTTGAGTTGTGCTAAAGTCAGATTTAGGGTGAGCACAGAGAAACTTTCTCTCTGCACATACATCATCCTACACAGTGAGGTCAAACATGAAGGTCAACGAACAAGAAGAAAAACACATTTTAGAGTGGAGGAGGATTTTATGTGTTAAGAAAATCCTCCTTTTTATGATGAATATACTTTTTAAAAACATTTGATTTCTGGGCTACTGTAGAAACTGTCTCGGGCTGTCGCAGTGATTTAAGGTGGCTCAACAGCGCAGTATATGATATTATGGCCATTTTTGTTAATTACTTTGTAAAAAGGTACAGCGGGACAATGTTTAATATTAGTACCCGCTTCTACTAATCACCTCCTCCCCTCCTCCTCCCTCCTGGGTCTGAGACTCTGTTAACTGAGGAGGAGGTGATGTGACTTTCTCCTGTGTGGTATTAACTGGTAACGGCAATGCAGACACATGGCGGTTCAACATGGCGTACTCTGTAGAAGACGACCCACTCCATCTGTAGATAAATACAGCTCATTCTAAAGGTAACAAAACCACAACAATTCCTATATTCAGGTGATTATACACTAATGAAAACACAGCTATGATTATCTGACAGTTCTGCCAGTGGATCCTCCTCGATGTTACACACTGGACCTTTAAGAGAACGGGTTTAGACTAGTCCGTGCTGACTCACTCATACTGAAGCAGTTTAGTCACACTTCACCCTTCCAGCAAGTATTCAGTACTTCTGTACTGGGACACTAAAGAATCAACAACCACAATTATTTTTACTGCACCCGCCGCCCCCCCACTACCCCCGAGCTCAAGCCTCGCTGTGCTGTTTTAATCCATCAGGTCTGTTGGGAAAGAGTGGTGAATAACTGGAGCAGATGGACATTCAGATTAAGCCTTGGCCTCGACGCTGATCCACTTAAGTCATTATAGTAGAGGAGCTAGGATAAGAAATTCTGGGACAACTGTGACCCACCTGGATGAAAGTGGCTTAATGCCTCCTTTTAGATGTTAAACCTCGGGGCAACATGATGGTTGAGGTATTACTGACTGACAGGGCCCACGATGGACTAATAAGAGGTTTTAAAAGACGGCTGAAAGTTTAATTTATCAGTGGCCGTGTGCCATTTAACACAGTATGAGGCTTTTAATGCTCTGTGATAGAATCAGATCTAATTTGAAGTGAAGTCAAATGTTATCAAATAACTGGTGTTTTTCCTGTAGCTTAATAAATGCAGTCCAACTGAATTCTCTTTCCACAATACTGTACAACTCTGCATTGGAAAAAGTGTCTCTTTACGTTGAATACATATAATAACAAAAATAAAGATGCATGTCCTCGAGCTGCTCCATAGGCAGTGAATAATGAACCAGCTGCTGGGACAGTGTGACAGCAGGAACGGGGATTTTACTGGGATACAGTCACAGCTAGAAAGCTGAATAAACACTTCTTTGCAAAGCTTCTGCAATGCATTAGAGACATTCACTGATTCACTGATGTCAATGGATAAATGTCAGTGGATGACAACATTCATTCAAGTCTTAATGGTCCGATTCTCAGCTGAAGGAGGCAGCTGTATGAGGAAGGAGATATGAAGATTTGGGCTTTACTGACAGGAAACTTGGGGAAACAACAAACATACACGTGTCGAATCAAATGGTATCCTATTCAATATTGACAGAGAGAAGATTGCAGAGACTCCTGTCAAATTTAAAGCTATTATATGTAACATTTCTGCATTAAAATATCTAAAACAATATAAGAAATGTGTAATTTTATTCCAGTATGGGTGCATTTCCTTTCTTGCCTCTTGTTGCTTTAACTTCTGGGTAAACACCAGTCTTTGAACGTGAATAAAACTTTAATATTACCTGGTCCTGTTAATCATTTCTGTCTTTTCACAATTTTTTATTAGCAATGGTGATAGTTTAAAAACAAAAACAACAACTCCAATGATCCCACACTACTTCTGTTGTTTTGATGTGAGCCCCCCAGCTGCAGAAATTCATACTGGTTTAAGACTGTATTTTTAATAGCCAGCCAAATGTTTGCATGAACAACAATTAGTATAACAATCCTAATCAGTCTGCTGTGGTAATCCACTATCAATGTCCTAGATAGGCACTTACATTCAAAACTACAATCTAATGTAATAGCCTTTAACATAAACCTGTCATTAATCTGAGTGAGGACAGTCTGAGGGTGCTCACAGGCGGCTCTGGCAAAAAACTGCTGGATCTGGCCCAACTTTTGCCAGATCATCCAGCAAGGCAAATCA